AGGGGGGCACACCCCAGTTTATTTGGCGTCTCTATTCGAAGCTGCATACCCTCAAATCTAGCGACCGTCTCTGGCGTGGAATAATTCGGAAGGAGAATAACTGTATATGGGACGAAAGGATATCTCTTCAGCTACAAGACCAGCTGAGTTTGGTTTCTTCAACCTTTTTAAGTTTGGTAAAATCAACGGAAAAAACATTATTTTCACTCCAAAATTAATGCCCCAAATTGCGAATTTTCGCGTAGGATAATCCCATAGAAAAAAATTTTCCGGCAGAAATGACTGATGCTGGCAGAAAGACCCAAGCCTTGACTATACCCGAGTAGATTATGAAGAAAATTCTAGTACTGTAATTTTCTAAACAGTCCACGGCGCGAGGGGTTGCAAATCCGACCCCATCCTGTCATGATTATCAAGAAAGTTTGTTAATCATGGGCCAAATGATTAGACGAGGGCCTTGCCTAATCATGTACCCGCGTACGCCAGGGTACCGCGATTAACAAGGAGTTCGCCCCAGAGTATGCGACCAAGCCTGCAAAGCCGCGCTATGCTTGCTGGGAGCTGGCGGCGTAGGATGACCTGACGGCCCGCCCCATTCAAACCGCACCCAGGTACGTATATGTGTGTTTGACTTGGATTTTGATGATTCATAGTTACTATTATACCATATTTATATTTGGTATTTTAATCTGATTAGACACTTGCTTAAACGAAAGTTATGGCTCGACTGGAACTTCACGGAATGTTTCAGAAAATCATGAATCGTCGAGCTCGAGGTGAACTTAGGTACATGTAGTGGGGAGGGGGGCGAGTGATGCAAACTTACTCGATAACATTTGTGTGCCGTCTGTTATGCTGGGTCTGTTATAAAATATAAAGTCCTAGGGTCAGATTTCATGGCCGGACCTACACGTCCCGGGTTTGGGAGAGACCTGCGTATTAAATTTTTATCTGAGGTCAAATTGTATATATACGTCCCTACTCGTGTGTCATCTTTCAGCCGCCAGCTTTTTCGGTGAATTATAGACCGGCTAGAAGAACAAAACGAATACATCTGATGCAGCAGTATAAC